AACACGATGTATGTGTTTTCTTTATATTTACTTTTAAATTAAGAAATTGAGTTATGTATAGTACTAAAATTTGAATTATAATCTAAGTTTGGTACCAAAGTTATTGACATAAATTCATGAAATAGTAGTTCAATAAAATTTTGAATGCGAGTCAACAAACATGATGACATGGCCTTTCACCCACGACCTGTATGGAAAGGGTTAAACAAAATTTTTTAACTATCTTAATTATTAGAGCTTATGAAATTGCAAATTCTGCTTCTGCTTTTTGAAAGCCAGAAGAAACCAATATGAAGAAGACTTATTTGTAAAATGAATGCTTTGTTTAACTTGTTTAAGAAGTCCATGTCAGAATCTGTGAACAAGAGAAAACAGATCAACATACAAATAGTGGAATGCATTATGTTGGTTAACTGTCAAATCATTTTGATATAAACATTAAAAACTAGTTGGTTCTTGTTTCTCACGAGTTTTACTTCTCATCATTTTTTGCAGTAACTTCAGGTGAAGAACTGTTCAGGGTTAAAGATAGGATAGAGAATGCTCATTGGTCATTTGTAGTTACAGGTGTAGGTCTTGTCAAGCATACTATACTAGTAGTACAAAGCAGCAATTACAACAACATTTCAATGAACTTTATCAAACTCTCATCAAAAATCAAGCATTTTAGGTATTTCCGTACAAAGAAACAATAAGTTAAGCTGAAATTCAGGATCTGACCATAACATTTGCTATTTCCATTCAGTAGACTTTATATTTTATAACAGATTTTTCTTTACATTAACCATTTGTCACACTAGAATCTTTTTACAGGTTTAAAGAAATAATAACTTCAGATCTGGATGCGTGATAACAGAATGTTGTTTTACATAGCTAAAATTTCAGTCTTAATGCTTCTTTCTCTGTTCCAGCTTTCCAAAGAGCTAGTGAGATTTCTTCGTGCAATAGGTAAGCTTCTTCATGTGATACACTTATCTATTTACTGTTGCTATAACAAAGGAGTGATTTAACAATAATGCTTTCAGTGATTTACAAAACTTAATTCTTTTAATAAAACAAACTTTTTTGCTAAGATGATTATCTAGTCTGTTATTGAACAATACCAGAATTGATTTAATCTACTTAAACTGTTTAAAATTATGGATATGTTTAGTATCTGTAATAATAAAAACGTTTTATTCTACAACTGTAAGAATTTTTTTATTTACACTAGAAACTCATAGTGTGTTTTCTGAATTTTATTTGAATAACAATATTATGCTATATCTTGCCTATTTGAAATAATAGACTTTATTTCATAGAATCTAAGCTTATAAATATATAAGAGAAGATGAAAGCCATCTAGTCTGCTGGCTGAATAATAAGAACATTTATGCAGTTTTTCAATCACTTATTTTTTTTTTTTTAAATGAGTTTGGTTGAGTATGGTTAGTCATTTTATATTTGTTTTTATACCTGTTATGAAATCTGTCGACGATTGATTACGTACATTTTCACTTTTAGCACCATCTGATGTGGAATCTCCTCCCAGAACATCTCTGTCTATAGTGCCATCCACCAAATATAGTTTCCCCCATCATACACCCCCTGTAAGCCCAACAGCTGAAGATTTATCATTAGTTCTGGGTACATTACCAGTTGGGCGCTCTCGTGCTTACAGCAATGTTTCAGCTTCAAAAATGTCCCGAGCTCCAACTCATGAAGCAGCCAGTGTTGGATACCACAAAGAATTTAGTCAAAGTCACAGTGATCCACAACTTATACCTCCAAAGAGGTTGTCAACTTTGACTCTATATAAATTAGTTGTCTTACAGTTTAATTATTGTTTCGTATACCGAAGATAGATATTTTAGAAGTAAATCTATTTTTAAGAACTATGTTTTTATAAGTCACAGTATTAGTTTGACATGCAGCCTTAATTGATTTTCAGTAACTCTTAACCTGAAATCTGTGGTTGCAAATTATTACAGTTTAATTTAGATAGCCGTTACTAGTCTTACTAAAACCTACAGCAATTATGTTTATTGTGTTCTCATTCACTATTTTATTATTTGTCTTCTTGAAGGATAAGTTCTATAGCAAAAGACACTGGTTCAGCCGAGGACTTTTTTATAGACACCATTTTGAATCGGCATGCTCGGAAACTTTTGTTAGCTGGTCATCTTTGTGAACTGGGATATCTTGCTGCTTATCTAGACTTTCAGTTGATTTCATTTCTAAGGAAAGAAAGGTTTGAGCCAAAATTTTTAGATTATTTATGACTTAATCAGCTTAGTGTTTTATTCTTTATGTAATACTGATGTAAATTAAAAATCATCCTGCTATAATTCGAGAGAAATTTATTTGTTTGTCCTCTTAACTCCTCCTAGGTCTAATTATCTAGGAATGATTCAAGATGTGTCAAGAGGATGCCATTTTTATTCTAAAATCCCATTAATCCTTTGAGGGATTTCTTTTTTCACACATTCTTTGTACATAGTTTTAACATAAACACTTATATTTAATGAGCTTTTTTTTAGGCACATGTTACTTATTGTGTTTTGATAATAATAGAAAATAAAATGTTATTTAAATAATCAAGCCCAGTGGACATGAGTAATTTTATTCTTATGTAATTTCGATTTTTAAACTGCCACTGGCATAATTTTGAAAAAAATTTTCATAAACCTCTTACCATGCATTGTATGGGTACATCTACTAATATTTCAAATCTGTTTATCCAGTTTTGTATTTCACAATTAACAACATCTCTCTGCTTTCTCTGTGCAGTACTCATAAGATACCATTTCAGTATTTTTCACCCAATCCTATCTTCTGTAATATTTCCTTGATAAAAATGTTATTTCTCACTTAAACCCATCTTTTACATATTTGTCTTTAGACATCTTTATTCAACAATTTGCTTTGTATAAATTGAATTTTGAATCACCTTTTTATAGATTTTTGTTACTCCCTGATACATCTTATACTCATTTTTGTTTTACGACATTGAACTTATTATTTATTTCTAATTATATATTGCTGTTGTAGCCCAAAAGTGATCATTGCATGATTTAGTCAGTGTTTGCACTAACACAAATATTTCAAGTCCTGTGGAGCCAACCACTTGGTAAAAATGAGGTCCCCATATATTTTTAAACAGAACATAAAAACATAATTTTTAATGTTTTTGCTTACTATTTATCAACTGTTGTAACACTGTTTTGTCCATTATGTTTTTCCTGCCATGAGGTCTTCCTTGTTGGGTTGTAAACTATTTTTGGTGAAACAAGCAAAATTAAGGTTTATAAATTTTATAAAACAGGATGGAACATATCTGCCACACCACCACAAAGAACTGTACAGATGTTACAGTATTGAATCAATCAAAGCAAATTCAAAACTCAATTATATTAAAAATTAGGGTCAATAGGATTGAAAGAGCAACATTAAGATAATTTTAGTTTACATCTTGTGATGCATTATAAAGCAACATTCTCCATTCCCAGTGTTAAAAAAAGTGTGTTGAAGAGAACATTGTTTGCTTATTATTGTTAGCCAATTAATTAGTTCAGTGCTGTGAATATTAAATTTGAGTTTCAACAAAGAAATAGGGATTGGAAATTAGCACATTAGTGGAATTTCTGTTTGATATGTTTTTTGCACACTTAGGCTTATTGATGAATGGTGATTATAACAGCTGTGGAACTTCAAGTTGTGAAGTGGATTTGACTTTCCATTATTCTTTTTTATCAAAGAATCCAAAAGTATTTGTCCAACAATAGAAACCATCACATGAATTATTTTTCAATTATTTTTTCTGTCTAATAATTAATTTTTTTTAATATATTTTTTGATCCTGATACAGAAACTTTTATAGCTCTCTTAAGTCACTGTAAAATGTTATTAGATTTATGGTTTATGATATATTTTATACTTAAAAAATGTGTACATTTTACCCCTGATAATATGAATTCCATGAAAGACGGCAAAAAAACATTACATATAATATTAAGGCTTTTAGTTCTTTTATATCTATATGCATTTTTTAAAAGGATAACGGATTACAAACCAGTATTTTTTGAGTTTATGTAAAAGGTTGAAAACATAACATTTAGCTTTAGTGATGGTAGTTTTTCAAAGTAGGATAGTGAAAGTAAATAATGATAAAAATATTTATGGATTTTGATACTAGAATAATTAAAGTTACTAATCTGAATGGTGTTTAGTTTATACCAGGAAATGTTAGTAACAATGTGCTGTGATTAAAAGCAATAAATAAAAATGTCATGTAAAAATATGTAACATTTAAGTTAACTGTAAACTTGTGAGAATATTTCATAGTGCTGGACACGTCACCCCATGCCAGAATCTTCAGCTTAGGTTTGAAGGAATCCAAGTTCAATGAATTCTGTATTTTATTTTAGATTAAGAGCAGCCAAGGTAGAAGATTTTGTCACTTCACTCAAATTGCTGCATCATGAATTTCAGTGGCCTTTCCCCTTTATTCATTCCTCTTTACTCACAAACAACCTTAGGAAGAATTCAGGTACTGTCCATTCTTTCACTTGTTCTTTATTTCCAGCTATCTTAGAGATCAAGCATGATGAAATTAATATAAAAAGTAAGAAATAACTCACATTTGATTCTTCTTCCTTCTCAGAAAGAATAAAATGACTCATTTCTTAGGTTCTATATTAAACTTAATAGTATAGACAATGCACCATTAAGCTGTATTTAATACGTAATAGCTTCTAAAATTTTCTATGAAATTGTTTTAATATTATCTATAAAAAAAATTTCATCTTTCCAGGCTTTCAGTTCATTTATATTGTCTAAAACATTTATCTGTAGATGAACCACTGGCATGTTGGGATAAGTTTTAAAAAACAAAAGTAGTAAAACCCATGTATTTTATTTGGTATAAGTGCATAGGAAATGTAATTTTGCCTAATGTATATAAATGTTTTTTTGTTTGTATTTTGTCCATTGGAGTCAGTCAATCATGTATATGTAACTATCAGAAAGTTATAATCCCTGCACAACTGATTTGGATTGTTATCATGTGATGTGAAAATGTATATGTTTGAGTTAGGATACAAATAATGACATGATGAAGGTTATGCACTCTATTTCAGTAGCTATGAATCTGTACAACAAAACAGTTTTTAGGCCAATATAAAATAAAGGGAAATTTTGTTTGTTTTTCACTTGACTATAGGTCAGATGTTTGACCCTTATTTATATTTATAAACATCTGTCAATTAACATACCATCATAAAACAAAACATACTGGCTTCTTGAAAGAGTGGTATGTACAATAGAAAAATTTTACAACTGGTATATTTGGAAGAACTTTAGAATACAGATTTACTTTAATGACCTTGGTATCTCCAAAAATCAGATGAGTGGGTTCTACAGCTGTATTTTCTGTGAGCAAAGCTTTTAAAAACTGTTTATTATAAGTGACTCGTATATCATGTACAATGCCAGATTCATAGCCCTCTTTCAGTTTGATTTCAAAAAATCCACTCTAAATGTTTCAAAATCAAACACCATGTCTTGGTTTCTACACAAAATACTGTAATTTGATGACCTGTATTTACTTCAGTATAGTATGCTTTTTCATGAGAGAATTTAGTAAATGAAACATCTGGATATGATGTTTCACAAATATTCTTTAATGATTTATTAGTTCTTCATACCTCATAGTATTTAATCATTACTTAACCGTTAAGTAATTTTGATCTCTTTCGAAAAGATAATTCAGATATAACTCATTAGTTAATATCAACCTCTCTCTCATACACGTTTTAGGTATGATTCATTCCGATTCATGCTTTTAACCCCTTAACAGTGTTTATAAAGTAATACAGAAGTCTAAAATGTCTTGAAAAATTAATATAAATCTGAACTGACATAGGAAAATAAAAACCAATTGTTAGGTGTATTTGCAAAAATACTTTGAAGGATATATTTAACACTTTTCTAAGTATTAGCATAATGGATACATATGTATATTGGAAAGATTATCCATTGTGTGAATGTGATTTCCTGTACAACTGGAATGTAAACTAATGGTTTTTATATGGCTCACCTTGAAGTGAAATATCAAACTGATATTTAGTTTGTTAAAACCAGCTTGGCTTTGGAAACTTTATCGTGAATTTTTGTCTACGCATGCTTTTGCAACAGTTAACAGTGGACTCGAAGAAAATCTGACACCCCTACCAACCATGTATCTCCCACAATCTAATACGGACAGCATCCCTAGTCCAGACTGTATTGATGGTCCACCTTCTAAGCCAGAATCTTTACTACCAGTTAGTTCTCAGGATACTCCAGTCAGTTCTAGTGGCTGTGATACAACTGGATCACCTACTATTGAAGCAGTGCTGCTTCCACAGTCTGCCAAAGGTACTTCAAGTTTTAAGTACTTTTAGTATCAAACAGACTATTCTGTCACCATATAACAAACTACTCTAATTAAAAGCATAATAAGCCATTAATAATTGTTTGAACTTCACTTTTTAGCATATTATTTCAGTCTGTCATAATAGATTATTGTTTTTTCAGTACTCACAGAAAAATATTGAACAGGTATTTTAGTCTCCACTGGATAAAGAGTTTCTGCTAAAAATAACTGGTTCTATAGGTAATACATTTCTCTAGAATTTTTTGAATTATATTAGTTGATTTTGTATGTCTGCAGCATTGAAAGCTTAAGCAATTATTTCATAAAGCTGACCTTTTATTTTTTGTAATACAAAGAAGAATTGGATTTTCTAACATATATTTACATGGCAGGAGATAAATCATTCTTCCACAAAATCAATTCATGTACCAAGTATCATTCCATTTGAAATGTTATTACCTTCCTGAGTAAAAAAATGTCAAGTATTTCTACATCAGGAAAATTCTTTTCATGAACAGTGTTGCTATACTAGGTGTTACAACCTCAGAATTTAGTTATGTATAATATTTAATACTATTATAATATTTATAATAGTTTCCTTCTTTAACATCAATCACCATAATAATTGTTCTACTCCAGGAACTGGTTTTCCTATGTAGTACCATAATTGTACTGTTCCAGGAACTATTCGTCCTGTGTAGTACCATAATTGTACTGTTCCAAGAACTATTCTTCCTGTGTAGTACAATAATTGTACTACTCCAGGAATTAAGGTTTTTTTCCTATGGAACATCACATTGTCATGCATTATCTATCAAACATTATATCAGTACGTTGCTTAGTGTTAGCACATTGAAAGCTATTTTTTCACTGGTAATAAGCTAGGTAGTAGTGTATAAATATTTCTACTGAGTATCAGTTTACCAGATGTACCCAAAAAGTGAAATCTGTAGTTTTTCTGTACAGTAGTATTATGGTTAACTTTTACTGCTTTATAAAGTGAATTCCCATCTTGTAATAGACACAGAAAGTCTTCTAACACAAGATACATCTGAAAGTGGTTCTATGTGGGGTGAAGAAAGCTTCTCTACCTTTGAAGATGATGGCTATGCCTCTTTCTCCATGACAACTGACTTAGAAACAATTACCCAGGAGCTTGCTAGCCGGGGCTCTCAACAATCTGAAGTTCAGCTTAGGTAGAGAAGACACCACAGACTGATTGTTTTATACAATGTTAGAGCTAAAGGCTTAAAATAAAGAGAAACTAGTATAATATTACAGGAACTTCTAGAATTTCATTGTATTCAGCTGTAAAAACATTATATAAGAAAAATACGTAATAAAACTCAAAGTGAAAACTTCAACATTGCCATGACAATCTTTTTACATATATATATCAATTACTTTCATTCTTGTTTGGTGACTTGTAAATTTTGAAGAATACGTAACTTAGTTAGTCTGGAAATGTTAAATAGTATCGTGTGATTTATTTAAAAACATTTTATACGTGATATTCATCTATATACATATAAAGCAGTGTTGTGTAATAAACATAATAAATAACAATGTATATGAAATAATACATCCATCACTTTCATGTACTTTTTACTGTAGGTATTTGTTACAAGTAATGTTAGAAGCAGGATGTCTTGACTGGTCACTGCTGATATCTATTCTCTTACGTGATGCCATGGCTGTAGTTCGTGTTGTCAATGCTGTCAAACAGCCCGAGTTATCCCAAGGAATAGCTCAACAACTTATGGATGGCCTTGGGTCACTACAGCATTGGATAGAAACAGAATGGTGAGGATAAATGTTAGGCTTTTAAGTTTTTTATTTATCAATATCTGCCATGTTTTAACATTATTATTGTTATAATATCTGATTAAAACCTTTTTTTTTTTTCTAGTATTGGATATAAACCTTTCATGCTAGCTCTTCGAAACCAGATCAAAGCTCTAACAAAGCTAGCAAATCAGAAACCCCAAGTCTTGAAGCTACATAGCCCTATTGGTCAAGAATTACAAGATTCATGGGTTATTGAAGAAGAAGATTCTGTCTCAAGTTCTTCAGTAACAACATCTTATTCAGAAAAGACTAATAAAAAGACAACTGATTCCAAAGAAGAAAAACAAGACACAGTTGCAATAAAAGATTTGACTTGCAAAAGTAAAGAACATGTACAAGAACCAAAAATAGCTGAAGGGCGTAAGAATGAATGTGCTATTTCTTAGTGGGTAAACAAATTTAGAAGTTGTATGAAACCCAATACTGTGATCTGAATATTTTTAGTATTTGTAAAGCATGCTATACTACGAGCATCCGATCCAAGTTACTTTTGATTGTTAGGAAGCCATTCAGGTGGTTTTCTTTAAACATAGTGTTCATCATGTACTAGTTTTATTCACTACATGGACATCAACAAAGTCATGGTTTTAAATGGATAATGCACTTAAACATTTAAAAACCTTCACTGCACTTATAGGAATTTTAGACATCTTCATCCAATCCTTTTGCATCAGTTTGTTTTGTGACAATACAATGATGTAAGATGATGTTTGGTGACAAATGTTACTTATTAATTGTATTATACATCAGAGGAGGTACAAGGCAGCAGTAATGGAAAGAAAAAGGTCTTATTGGAAAACATTTCAATTATTGTTATTACTTTTTAACCATTTTTGATGGTTTTAAAGATATTTTTATCTTCAGCTTATCCCATAGTTTCACACTTTCAGAAAGGAGTTTATCAATGTATATATGTGAACTCAATTCTTTTAGTTGTCTCTTCTCTTTCCTGAAACACCTAAGATTATCATAGTCAGTGAAAATACTAGGGTAAGGCATTTTTTGTACATTTTCAAATAAATTGTTTTGTAACAAACTAAATTTTAATCATTGAAAAACCAAGTATTTACAAAAGAAACAATTTTATATTGAAGGAATAAACCAAGTGAAAGAGTTAAATATTGTATGTAGGATTGAAAATAAAAACCTGCATCGCTGTATACTGAATAGACCAGAAACAAACTCATGTTTAAATATATTTTCAGTGGATACCCACGGGCAGCTTGTTATTAAAAATGTTGACAAAGTTTTCTGTAAATACATGTAAAAGTTACTGCAAGTACACTGTTCTTGATCTTCAACTATATTATTAAACATTAGCAGCAATGCAGAATCATTTTTCTGTTTATTATCAGGAAAAGAATTACATATTGCAATGAACAGTACTATTTAAAACCACTCTCACAATAATGTACAAATAAGAGGCTGGAACAAACTGTATATAAATACTCAAGGTTATAAATAAATGAGCTTGTGTTTATCAAACTTTTCTTCTCCTGCCAACATGCTGTTGTAATTGAATATCTTAAAAGATCACTTTGTATAATTAAAAGAAAAATGCAGAGGAACTAAACTTGATAGAGCCTACTTGCTTTGTATGGCAAGAGAAATTAATTTCTTTAAATAATACAAAGCGTGTATGTATTAGTTTTGATAACTCTTTTTGTAATTATGCCTCTTTGATAAATGTTTTAAAGATGCTCAATGAAAACTTTGGTTGTAGTGATTTTTTTTTTTTTAAAGAGTGATTGTTTGGCTCAATTGAGAATAGGTCTTGGTTGGTAAATTATTTGGTGAAACTTTTGTGCTGTGACATGTTAAAACATAATTAGGGTAAATGGTTACAACTTTATAATTATGCATAATTCTTAACTCTCAGCTTGAATATAAAGAACCATTTAAATATTCTTTAAATTTAAAGTTTTTTTGGAACAGAATAAGTACATAGGTTGATTATTTTTTTCTTTCAGTTGTATGTAGAATGTGAAATTCTTAGGAGTGGTGTAGATACAATTGTAGTAATATGTGAATTTAAAGGAAAATATTTTTGTACTTGACATTTAGTTAATACACTGGGAACCATATTTTCAATTATTTGTTTTAATGAATGAATTTTCTTTTCAAGAAACATAATATTGTCAGAACTTGGAAAAATGAGGTTCCTATATCTGTTGAAAGAAATGTAAAATGCTACATCTTAAACCAGTGTATGTTGTTTGTATTGTATACTGTGTTATTGTATAATATGTTAAATTTGACTGGATAGATTTAGTTTATCCTTGGTCCAAGTAGTTATAAGAATGTTTATTATCTTGTCCTATTTCTTAAAAAAATTGTCAAATACAGTATAAATGTATCTACAGTAAAGTAGTATACTTATCTTAGAACATAAATTTATCTTAACAGAAAATAACACATTGTAAGTGTAGTGGGTATTTCACCAAAAATTATTCTGGATTCTTTGAAACCTTCATTCCTCTATTTTGAAACCATTGGGGCCAACTTTGTTGTTCATATATATTTAAAGGGTAGTGGTGGTGGTTATTATAACTTTGAAAAGAAACATACTGTGTATATTGTAGATTTTAACATTATATTGTTTTGTTGCATTTTTAAACATGTAGAACATATAATGCAAAGCTCAGACCTTAAAGATAATAAAGTTATTCAAATAGTGGTTTCATTGTCTATCACATGAAATTATTAACTATGTAATATGGTTTTAAAATCATGCCTGTAATTTTCAAGATTTTCTAACTTATTAAAAGTTTGTGTAAGAAAGTGCTTTCACCTATTGTTGGTAGTTAAACCATGCTTTTTATTTACAAAAAAATTCTCTACATTGTTTAATCTATTAGAGGAAGCAAACAAGCAGAATCAAGAAAATTTAGTGTGATTTTCCTTTTAGATTAAGAAGCATCTTCAATTTTATGTTGATTTTGGTGAATACATACTTTCAATATACAAAACCTAATACTAAATCCCTTTTTCACCATTGTTTTATGAAACTAACTATACTATCCACCTTGAACAGTTTTATTGCTTCCGTAAATAGCTACAAAAAAGAAGTGGTTGTGATATGTTGTGCCATTCACTGTTTAAATTTTTAATAGTGTATTATTCACTGAATCCCCACAGATTAAACAAAATGTGGGTACCACTTTTCAATGAAATTTCAACTTCTGTCACTGCTAAACAAACTAGGGTAGTAAATAGTGACAACTGTAAGTTATTAAAATTAAACTAAAGACCATGAAACTGGTTTAACCAATCATATAACCATGAAACTATACATACTATAACTCTGAATGTACTGAAATCCAACAAGAATTAAATTTCTTAATAAAATACTGGATCTCTTATCTTCCCTATCCTGACACTAACTGCACTGAATTCTTCTGTGTACAGTAATATGAAATAAAATCAAGTGTTTTTCTGTTAGGATGACTGCAGATTGTAACAGACAATTACTTAGCTTTAAAAGTTTCAGGTTTCTAACTTTTTCATATGTTGTTTCTTTTGTTTTATTGCTTTTTAACTGTATTTTGAGCTGCATTCAGTACCATGTCAACCAATAAATCACCTGGAAGGAAAGCGAAGAGCTTAGGGAAAACAAAGTGTCAAGAGTACCTCACATGACGTCAAACTGTACATTGTGTTTTTCACAAGCGAGTAATTGTATCAAATGTTTTATTTAATTGTTTTCTTTTTTAATGTGTTAAGTTTCACAATTTACTTACATTTCTAAAAACATATATACATAAAATTTAGCACTTTGGTGTGTGACTTATTAAGCTTTCATGCAGCTTTCAAGTATACATTTTAGAACAAAAAATACACCAGCCACTAAAATAAAAGTGTCCCAAAACTACTATAATTTACCTGGCTTTCTAACTAACCTATAAATAGGTTAAAATTCCATTACTGTTTCGTACAACATCTTTAGCATAAATACAAGCTTTCATTACCAACTTTGGCTTTGAGCTCTAAAATGAAACAAGCTTCTGATTTATGTAGTTCAGATATAAAGATGTACAATAGCAATGTTGGAGAGTATTGGACAGAAAAGAGTGGGGTTGAACAATTACAGTGATATCTTAGTAAGAAAAAAGACAAGTTCAAATTTTTTACTCTAGCTTTGTAATATTTTAAATATAGTACATGTTTCTAATTGGTTGAATGACCTGAAGCCTTCATAAAGGAATAGAAAAATAAATAAATGAGAAGTTACAGCACCACCATGTTGCATGATTCTAAGATTCAGTTTCAAAAATCAAAACTTGAAATAATATCAAATTTGACTCATAAACTACATTGATAAGAAAGTAGTATAATTAAATTTTAAATGTACACACTTTGACCCACCTATTTCCACGGGGCAAATATACACCGTATCATGTACTCATCTTTAATACCTCATTTCATCAAAACGTTAAGTGTGTGAAATATTAAGTTATCACATGCAGTTTTGAATTGTATTTATGTAAGGAAATTTGTGTTAAATGCAAAGCTACACAATGTGCTATCTCTACTGTGTCCACTGCAGGATACTGAACTCCACATTTTTAGGGTTATATAAGCCCTCAAGCTTACAGCCGAGTTGCTTGCCAATTAGTACACTGGGTAATGTTCCAAGTCCAATATCTGATCAAAGAAAGTGGAATTTGTCACTTCATGTCAAAATTAAAACAATCACTGGAACTAGCTTATTAAAACTAAAATAACATATGCCTCAAATATTTTTAGTAATGATGATCTCTTACAATTAAATATCAATAATCCAATACTGCAGATATCTCAATATTCAGAAGGTTTTTTTTATATTTATCATATTGGGTTGAAATAAATATACTGGCCTCTTTGGTTTAATAACTTTCAAAAATATGCTATGCACACAAAATACAATAATCATTTAATAAATAATGTGACCAATAACAGACATAATTATCACTGCAAATATCAAGCCAACTTGCATTTCAAAAAATATTCCATCAGCATTATACAATAGCTGTAGTGATTCAAAACTAACCACAATAATCAACTTATTACTTTATTCTGATAAGATTAAGAAAGAAAGGTACCTGACATCTTGCTACAGATCCAAATAGCTCCATAAATCTAACACTTCAGTTATCCACAGTGTCTCTACATCTACATCACTCTGTAGGTTCATTAGTTTCACAGCTCTTACAGAAGGAATAACAGAGTTATCTTGAAGATCTCCAAGAGCCATACAGTATTGTCCTATAAACCAGTGAACATTTCTTCTACACTTTGATACTTAGATTCTGGTTTTTGTGAACATTTATGAATACATTTTGGGGAATAATTTAATCTATATAACATAAAATAAATTTAAATACATATATAAGACAGTAAAGAATTAAGCATTTTCTGGATAACAAATTATTCAGCACAGAATGTCCTGTGTTATATAATCAAACAGAATAAACTAGATTCTGATGTTTTCCATGATTTACAGCAATAACTGTATATTTTGTTTTTGCCTTTTCCTGAAGTATATTTATTGCCTCAAATTATACCTTAAAAAAGCTTCAGTATTATATCATGTATCCAAATGTACATATTTAAAAGAAAAAGTCGGAAAGTTACATATTTAGGAAGGATTATTAATTATAGACAAGTTCCTTTTTTAAATTTAAACTTAAAATTATTTAAGGTCTGTTGAGGTTTCCAAACTCAGAATTATACACGACACAGTCCAGGGGTAAATACATTTGCCAATATTTATTCCTACAATAAACAGTCCCTTCATCTAGAAGGTTTGTTTTTCTAAAATTTCAGCTAAACTCACCAAGTTTGATCCAATCTCCTGCTCCAGGTGCCTTTTGAACATCACTTACAGCAGCTACACCTGACCCATCATCAAGTAGTATAGAGTCTTGCTGGTTGTTAACCTGGAGTAAAATGTATAATGTTTAAATGTTATTTAAATATTAAAATGTACAATTATTAGTAATACTTTTTGACATAACTAATAGTTGCTTCAAAAGGCTTGCATATTCTTAGTATAATGAAATTTCCAGAAACTACTCACAACAAATAATAGTAGTAAAATACACAAGATAAAATTACTAAATAATAGGATGGATTTTGTACACACAAGAGAAAATATGTAAGTTTTTCTATTATGAAATAAAACCAGATTCAAAAAATAGTTTTCATATTTAAGCATTTGTTACCTTTAATTATTAGAATGAAAATTTTCCATGAAAAAAAAATTTTTTTAGACAGATTCTAAGAGTAAACTTTTATTCAACAACCATATAGTTACAAATTAATTTCAATCATAATAACAAAGAACATATAAGATGTTGGAAAAGCTAATCTATTAATAAGGTCACCCATAATAAAGAAAAACCAGTAACATTCTATCTAAATGAAACTTTTTATAGTCCTACATTCATTCAACAAACTATTAACACACACTACATTATCATGAAAAGTATTCCAGAAGTTAACAATTCTAACATAGAAGTAATTCACCTGAAAAGAAAATATTTGCGTCAGTTTCTAAAGCCTGTACTTGTTTTCTGGGCTATTCAGTTAACCATTACCATTTCAAAAATAAATAAATAAAGACTTCCCATGTGTAATTAATTAAAACCATGACAACTTTGAGAACCTGAACCATATCTAACTTAATAATGCAAGAAAATCAATATATTTCCTACCTTAAGGAAACCATTAAATTACTTGGTTTCTAACTGTGAAATTACTAACATCGTATAAATTCTGTCACTTTAACTGAAATTCGTCAAACATTTTTTACTGAAGTATATTCAGAGATTTTAATTTGTTATACTTCTAGTATGATTGCATAATAACATTATATTTTAGTGATTTACAAACACAGATAATGAAATATGCACCGCGTTTTCCAAATGTCAAATATCTCGTAATTGTAAATTAAATGAAAATCTGTATACACTATGTGGTTAATTTATTACAAGTTACAGTTTGGGCTCTGGATCAAGTGACAAAAACTGATAAGAGATGACTAACAAAATGAATTTTTGAAGGAGATACAGATTACCTTAGAGCCCAATGCTATGTTTAATAATAACAGTAATATCATTAATAGTAATAAGAAATAGCATGTGGCCTACAAGGCTTGCTTAGATTACAAATAGAACTTAGAAGTTAGGTTCATATTAAACGGTGAGCTAGCCCCTACCTGTATAATCAAACCCTGTATCCATACTAATCCAACAGTAAAACTTTTGTTCTTCATTTTTATGTACCATTTAAATAACTTTTGTTCATCATCACACTGTTGTTGTTTCCGAATAAGTGTAAGTTTTGTAAGTTGCCTAATAAATACCTTCCGAGCTGGAATGTCTAAAATCGTCTTTTCTGTCATCTCGACAACTCGTTTAGAATGTTATTACCATGTTCCTCCTTGGAAAATTTATACTACTCTACTCTCAAACCCTATATTTTCTGATTTGATAACGCACTCTCAAAAAATGGACAATATAAATGTGTCATATAACTTAGACGAAGATCCAATTATGGGCTGTATAACGTATTGAAATTTTACTGACATTTTTACTTCTTTGTTTTACTTTCTTTGTTTTTTTAAGAGACTTCAGAAGTTGAATTCCACTATCACAAAAGGTTTGGGTGATATTGCATTTATTTTTTCCTTAATGCACCAAAAGTTTGAATGAACGATACAATCCGCGAAACCATTACAGAAATACTCATAAAGCGTGCCAATCCGAGGGTCCATGGCTCGTGTTCCGTTGTCTTAAAATCACGTTCCTCATGTTGATGCAGTGGGTGCATTGTAAGAATGGCTATCACATCTCATTATTACAGTAGCCCAAGAATTAGTGGTGGGTGTTATTGAATATTTATCTTCTTCCTAGTCTATATCAATTAAAAATTAGATACGTCTAGCAAAGACAGCTCTTGTGTACCTATGCGCAAATATCCAAAATAAACAAACAAAAAACAGCTTAGTGTGGTATTTTCAGATAAACTTATTTCCCGAAAGAGTAAATTAGGTATTGTTGCGTCATCGAGGTCACGTGACTGGTGTGGCGCCACCTATTTTCTAGAACTATCCTGTACCTT